AACCGTTGAAACCACAAGACAACAAACAACAAAAGGTAATCCCAATATAGTTTTTAACATTTTTAATGATTAGAATTTCCTCTTTGTAAAAGGTTAACATTTTTCTAGCGATAGGAGATAAGAGTAGAACGCTCCAAGACCGTAAAGAACTTATGAGCATGCAAACAGCGGTAACCAAACGTGCCATGTTATTTGTTAATTGGCTGCCAACAGGACAGAAGGGGTATATCTCGATATCAACAGTATTATCTGGGAAGCAAGCTGCATGGTATTGTACTGGTAGTACTGATACACTTGCCTCTCACCTATGCGATCTCGGGTTCCATTTATGGACATGGCATCACAATTGAGTAGAGCTAGTTAGGTCTCTCCCTTGATTCTAGGGTTTTTCTCCTGTTTCTATGGTTTTTAGTCCTTCCACAAATCCTAAGTGTTATGGGACGACCGCTCTCGGTATGAGCTCCGGGATCTTTATTCTGCTCTGTTCTCTATGTGTTCTCTGTGTTGAACTGATTACATGAGATGTATTTATAATAATGCTATGACAGGTGTCATTCTCTAATCAATATGATAATATCGTAGAATCATGATTGGCTAAAAGAAATAGTAAATTCCTGAGCGTGATATCTTATCAACGAGTAATACGAGTGAAAATCTTGGAATTAAACATAGTTTAAACTAAAGTTAATATATAAAAATATTGTAAATGTATAGAAAAGGCTACGAAGAATATTTCTATCATAAGATTCTAAAGAATAGTGCTAAAATACATAATCACAGGGGTAAAAAGTGTGTAGGGTGTAACCAGAGGTGTACATGCTAATGGGAGGAGCTAAGAGGTTTACTTGTGAATTCAGAGCATACCATTATCTTAACTTGTGCGTGATGGTAGCCTTGCTGAAATCCTATATCGATACTTTTATATAGCTAATTGATCGCTCTTTATCTTGTTTTCGTAAGATAAGTAATAGTAATTAGAAAACTGATGTCTTGCTTAGTTTGTGTGTAAATATATTGATTTTCTCTCTCATAACATAAGCTCAAATCCCATTCTGGATTGTGAGTTCGCCGAGCCCTGACTTTTGTCAGCTAAGATATTGTTTCAGATAACGAGTTTTCTTTTCTCATGCACCTTCCATTTCGTTTCAGATTTCACAGACAGGTTAAAATCAGCAATAAAACGACAAACCGACAACTTTTTGCCCAGGACGGACAGGAAGATCAGAACTGATGACATCTTTACAAACATGACCATTCAATGCGGCCCAGAGTGCTATGCTCAAACGGAAAGAGAAGAAAGAAATGGTAGAAAAAGAGAGTACAAGGTGAAATCAAGAATAACTTTGCTGGAAAAATGCTCCGAAATCTTTATTTGTCCACGACGACACGACCCCAAATTCCAAGCGAAAGGCTCCAATCCCAAATTCATTCTACTTATTGGAAAAGCAGGTATTGGAAAATCTCTCTTTTGTCGAAAAATAGTTCGGGACTGGGCAGATGATAAGTTGTTTGAAGAAGAGGAAGATGCCAAGTCAGCCCCTGATTTTAGGTTTGCATTTTTGTTGACATTCCGTCAACTTAATTCTCTCGGGGACAAAGCACTCACTTTGAAAGACGTCTTGAAGCACTCGCCGATACTGGATGACCACTCGATTATCGGNACCACAAGACAACAAACAACAAAAGGTAATCCCAATATAGTTTTTAACATTTTTAATGATTAGAATTTCCTCTTCGTAAAAGGTTAACATTTTCCTAGCCATAGGAGATAAGAGTAGAACGCTCCAAGACCGTAAAGAACTTATGAGCATGCAAACAGCTTTAACCAAACATGCCATGTCATTTGTTAGTTGGCTGCCAGCAGGACAGAAGGCGTATATCTCGATATAACAGTATTATCTGTGAAGCAAACTGCATGGTATTGTACTGGTAGTATACACTTGCCTCTCACCTCTGAGATCTCGGGTTCCATTTATGGACATGGCATCACAATTGAGTAGAGTTGGTTAGGTCTCTCTCTTGATTCTATAAGGTTTTTCTCCTGTTCCTATGGTGTTTAGTCCCTCCACAAATCCTAAAAAACTCTAATTCCATTCCGATTTGTGAGTTCGCCGAGCCCTGACTTTTGTCAGCTAAGATATTGTTTCAGATAACGAGTTTTCTTTTCTCATGCACCTTCCATTTTGTTTCAGATTTCACAGACAGGTTAAAATCAGCAATAAAACGACAAACCGACAACTTTTTGCCCAGGACGGACAGGAAGATCAGAACTGATGACATCTTTACAAACATGACCATTCAATGCGGCCCAGAGTGCTWTGCTCAAACGGAAAGAGAAGAAAGAAATGGTAGAAAAAGAGAGTACAAGGTGAAATCAAGAATAACTTTGCTGRAAAAATGCTCCGAAATCTTTATTTGTCCACGACGACACGACCCCAAATTCCAAACGAAAGGCTCCAATCCCAAATTCATTCTACTTATTGGAAAAGCAGGTATTGGAAAATCTCTCTTTTGTCGAAAAAAAATTCGGGACTGGGCAGATGATAAGTTGTTTGAAGAAGAGGAAGATGCCAAGTCAGCCCCTGATTTTAGGTTTGCATTTTTGTTGACATTCCGTCAACTTAATTCTCTCGGGGACAAAGCACTCACTTTGAAAGACGTCTTGAAGCACTCGCCGATACTGGATGACCACTCGATTATCGGKAATGATGTGTTTGAAATAATAAGTAAAGATCCCGAGAAGGTGTTGATAATGCTTGATGGATATGATGAATATGCTCATCGTGGAAGCATTGTTGGACATTTTGAAGCAAATTACCAAAACGATCCGAATGAAGAGATGYCTGTCCCCGCATTRATTGCCAAGCTTTTGAAGRGAAAAATTTGGAAAAAATCCGTGGTCCTAGTAACTTCAAGGCCTGGTGAAGCCAGCTCATTGGAAGARAATGTCAACTTTGATGCTAAAGCCGAAATAAAGGGTTTTTCTACCAGTCAGGTTCTGGGTTATGTAAAAAAGTATTTCATGCATAATAAAGGTATGAAAAATGCAGTACTTGGTCATGTCAGAGGAAATGAAAACCTCGTACGTTTTGGTCACATTCCTGTTATGTGTTACTTGATGTGTTACTACATGGAATGGCAGRTTGGCAAGTCAAACTTGACAAAACTACTACCAAATACCAGAACTGATCTTTACCATAAAGTCATTAAAGAGTTTATCAAAGAAAATCATGCTCACTTGAAATTCAAGCAGGAAAAAACAGAAGAAGAGCTTCAGGAAATAATAAGTAAGCTAGCAGAGGTGGCAGTAAAATTAACAGAAGAGAAGAAGTTCTCATTCAGCAAAGATGACATGCAGAAGTTGGGTATTTCCAAAGAACAAATAGCCGCTCTTGAAGCAAGTGGACTTCTGGACTRCTGGCCYTCATTTGTTAATAARTCTCAACATCCTTTTCAAGTGCCACTAGAATACAMGTTTACACATTTAACTATCCAGGAATACCTCTCTGCCTTCGGCTATGTAGAGAAGAAGATGATACCTGAGAAAGACAAGACCACAAACATGACACTCGTGTTCATAGCCGAAATGCTGTCCACAAAAAAGGACGATAAAAARCTTTTGAAAAWGTTGCTCAAAGCTATCGAACCAGCCGACAAGAATGATGATACAAACAGGCTACTAACGTTAAACTGTTTGCAAGGATTTGGAGATAAAGAACTCGCCGCACAAAGAATTGCAGAGCTCTACGAGAAATTCTGTAATSGAAAKGGATGGATAGTCTTCAGTGATGTAACCGATATGGATTGYTCTTCCATAGCTTATTTGTTTAGTATCATCAAATCCCTGAACGACGAATCAAATTACAAACAGACGAAGATATTCAAAAGGTCTTTTCTTGTCAACACGTTGTACATTTTAAATTCTACTTTAGCGACTTCAGGAGTTCGATCTATCTGTGACTCAGTCGTTAACTCTACAGTTACTGAGTTAGATTTGAMCTGCTGCGGACTTGACGATAGTCACTGTGTTGAAATAATAAAAGGCTTGTCGCAATCCAAGGTAACAACCCTRAATTTGYCCTACAATCATATAACAGGAGAGGATAAAACAGGTATTTGTCGAGCTTTAGAAAACTGCAGTGTAAAGAGTGTTAACTTGTGTGGCAATAGGCTTACTGAGGAATGTAAGAAGTTTCTTTCAGATAGATTGAGAAAACACAGACCAAACCTCAGGTTAGTTTTAGACTGAGTCTCAGACCTGTAAAGTAATATTTTAGTAATACCTATATACGATATGGACGGCTCGTCTGCAAGGACATTAACCGAGTGCGAGTTGTCAGGTAAATATTGTATATTGCTTATCAAATTCCTAGGRGTATRCACCTYAGKAYATCAAAAAAAAAAAGGTTGTCAGTCGGAGATCTGAAATCTGAGACCGAAGTGAATTGTGTGTTGTAAGCTGTGATTTTTTTCTTTTTTTTTTAGCAGTTACTAGCAACAAGTWAATATCTAAATATGCCAACTTTGAGCTATGACCTGCGCTGGCGAATTGTTTGGCTAAGTGTATTTTGAATTTTTAACGAGAAAAACACTCGGCCCCCACAATTCGGTCTCAGGCCCCGTCCACACGTATCCGGAAATTTTTGTATCCGCAAATTATTTTTTATGGATACGAAAATGTTTGCGTCCACACGCAGCGTATTCGAATCGTTTTCACCGTCCACACGTATCCGTTTTCGTAAAATTTGCGGATACGGACACAAAACTGATTTGCGGACAGGTGTGGACGCAACCCGTATCCGTAAAAAAAAAATTGCGGATACAAAAATTTGCGGATACGTGTGGACGGGGCCTCAGATTTACGTTTTCAAATCTCCGACCGAYAAACTAAATACTACGAAATACTACGGTATATTTAGAGGATATTACATGCTGGTGCTGGTGGGAAGATATGAGGTCTACTTTCGAGTCRGTGAAAATATTTCACGAGTAAGCGCAGCAGACGAGTTAAATATTTTCCAACACGAAAAGATAAATTTCACTTTCTTGAAGCCAATGTTTAATTTAAGGTGGAACCAAATTAATTCAGAGCGAATTTTGGACAATTTTATTCTCGCTTCCTTCGCAAAACTACTGTGCGTCAATTTAACTGTATTTTTCATATAAAGTGCTTGGATTAAGAGTTTTTAAATGTTTAGCCTATTAAGGCCGAGAATCTAATAGAAGCAGTAAGTTAGTAAGTAACAAGTAAGTCAAAGTATATAGTACGTCGCCCGTAAAGTCCTCCACTGGTCATGATTGTGAAGCACATCGAGACCATGTAAAATGCGCTATATAAGAGCCCCGTTATTAGTATTAAGTCAGAGCAATTTTTATTTTAGAAATTTGAATATGATTATACAAAGAACTATGTTATAAATCCTAAGATGTGCAACTGATAATGTAATCTTACCAAACAATTAAATAACTCAAATTTTAAAGTTTAAAATGTCAAACTTTTGAAAACTATACAAGGATTAAATAGCGATTATCACATGTTAAGAGCTTGATATCGTTTTTATTCGCGAGTTTTTCGTATCATATCGCAAACGAGTGAGTCCTTATACACATTTAGGGTCGATTTTTTCGATTGGTCAAAACTAAAATATGTCGCGAGATCTTATTGGACAGTTTTACCGTGAAGTGACATCGTATGGTTTTTATTTACGGCTTTGTTTCACGGATATCGACCCTAAATGTATAATAAAATCTCTCAGTGGCGTTCTGTGATAGCTTAGTTTGAATTCTTTCTACTGTTCGCAAACTTCATGGACAATTTTTGGTACCTGTTTTTGAAGACTAGTTCAAAAAGAAAAAAATTGTTTTGAAGCCCCTTTAAAAACTATTGTTTTTGGATTTGGTACATGATTACACTGAAACAAAACCCCCCGACAAAAAGAAAGCCAACTGTCAGAAATCTCACTTTCTGATTGGTCGAGGCATGTGATTCTCTCGTGTTCTGCCAATCAATCCCCGCTTGTTTTACCTCTGCACACAGCATGACTATTCATTTTCTATTTAATTCTGCCCTAATCTTCGAGATTTAACACACAACACACAATATGCATTGAGAATGTTGGTATATTAGTCGAGTAAGCGACAGTAATATATATATACACACAGTAATATATAGTATAACACTTGAATTACATTTCGTTTTTGAACTACTGTTCTTTACAATGCTCTATGAAAACGAAACAGGTGCCAGGGAGGCCAGAAAAAAACCCCACATGGGAGGAAATCTGGACTGGGGCCAAGGCACGTTGTCATCTTCTCCAGCGAAAGATTCTATTAAATTCCTAAACTGTTGGTTACTTGAAGTAAATCAGATGATGAATACTTAATATATCTATGCTTCGAAGCCGAACTTTTCCATCCAGCGTGCCTGTCTAGTAGGCTATCGTTAAGGGACCTACAACCAGGATTAGATGCAGCTCCAGATTTAATACTGTGGAGGCCATACGCTTTAATGTCCGAGACAAAAGGTTTCAGAAATTTCTTAAAGTCATCTTTTATAGTAGTATATGAGACGCCTTTTTTTGTTGTCATGGAACCTCTGTTTAGAATTGGATTTAACTATTCTTCGAATTACAGGCAAACTAGCGTCATTCTTTGGTAAAAGAGCTAACAGTTTTTCGGCGATAGCTACGGGACAGGTTACCTTGCCCGATCTATTAAGGTACAAGGAATGCCCCTCTCTAAACTGATCATTTTTTCTCTTAGGGACTATGATTTGCATATGCTCAGGAGAA